CGTATCAGACTAAAGATTGAGATTGAGATTGAATTGGGATTTAACCAATTAAAAGAAAGAAAACCAATCTCAAATTTAGTGAACTTTGTTTTAATTGATCAAATTCCATTCCAATCTCAATCTCAATCTTTAGTGATACGGGCTTTACGGGAGTTAGCGTGGCAGTTTAGTAATTGCTAAAATTTATGCAATTAGTCAATAATATAACATTAATTTTATGATTTATTAATAGATTAATGTTTTTTAGACGTGTTCATTGTAATTCATATGTATTATATCTTGATAATATTTAATTTTATTTAAAACTGCATTTTTATAGTTACTATCCGCGTTTGATTATCCAAAGAGATGGTAAAACAGTTGGGAAAAAAATGTATTTTTGCGGCAATATGTATGATATTATAGCATTATAAGTATTCATACTTATTTATAAAGTATTTATATAATAAAAATCATGATCTTAATAATGTATTATTTAAATAAATCGCAAATTTATTTCAAAAGTCGATAACATCGATACTCTGCAATTACCTCCGGGCCCACCGAGCCCATTTGCTGGCATGAAAATTTGTCCAGGGCTGACGGTCTTTAACAGTATCTCATCGGTGTTTAAATCGAACAAAGATGACCGAAGAGACGGTGAGATCGGTAAAATAAAAGCATATCCTGACAAATAAGGAAAATTATACCAGCCACATTCTACGTGTGTCCCTATAATAAAAATGCGATTAGATAATTTTCTTTGTGCATAATTATGCAGTTATTGTCTGTAGTATAGGTCATAGATGTAAGAAAATGTGGATGGAACACAACGCTTGCTGCAGGGCGAAGCCCAAAGGGTAAGGGGAATGAAATATCTAATTTCGTCCTCCATCCATATTTATTCTTATCTCCATGGGATAAGTCCTACACCTGAAATATTTTGTTTACGTAAATAGAATTAATTTAAGTTAATTTTTTGTTGTTTAATTATATATAGTAGACGCTTTATGATTTTTTATTTCCTGAGATAAAATGTGAAAATTTATTCTAAAACTTGTTTAGGGTTCCAAAACCAAAAAAAATTGTTTTCGAAAAAAATTTTACCAAAAAGCTATAGTTTACGTTACATATGCTATTGATATTTAATAAAATTTCTCTCGAAAGCAACCGTTTTGGATTGTGCTCTCATTAGCCAATCGACACGTGTCGGCGAGGTGTTTGCTGTCAGCCAATCGGATAATTGTCTGCAATTGGCTAGTGGAAACCTAGCCTAACCTAATGTACAGCTAAACGTATATATTCACACATACGGGGAGAGAGTACGGTATATTTAAGAAATATTACCTAATTACCCCGTGGAGTCCGTGGACTCAGCACTCGGGGTTCACTGGGCACTCACGTGAAACGTGACCGGCATTGGGTTTCTTCGTGACAGCTGACGCACGGCGGGAGAGAACACGAGGGTACTTGCTTGACGATGGCAGCGTTATTCCGCATGAATTGCGTGCAGGGTCTGCGCCGGGGGTTAGCTCTGATGTCCAAGGAGCCCAAGGAGATGACGGTGTGCCGCAGGATAGCGACGACATCGTGCCGTCGCGAGGGCGCCAAGGAGGCGGAGAAGTCCGTCAAGAGGAAGTGGGTAAGCTACGGCTTCAGCAGCAAGGACGAGGCGGAGGATCGTCATGCCCTGCATCAGACCATGTTCGTCTGCGTAACGATATGCTTCGTGCTCGGGTGCACCGTTATGGCCTATCTACCCGATGTCAGGAACAAGGACTGGGCGCAGCGAGAGGCGTACCTGCGGCTCCGTTACAGAGAGGAGCACGGGCTTCCCCACGTCGATCGCAATTACATTGATCCGTCGAAGATAATACTGCCGACCGACGAGGAGCTAGGTGATACAGAGATTATCATTTAAAGAGTAGTGTCTCTGACGACGCCGAGAACGTTGTTTGAACTTCGAGTGTTGTTACTGCCTATCTCTCTTACTTAGTACTTGTTATGTTAATTGAGGATAACATGTAATAAACGCCTGCTTTTGCGCGAATTGAAATCTTTTCTCAATTTGAAGATCAAACTCGTAGTACTGCAGTCTTTTACGTTCTCGCGGTCCTCAATCAAAATGCTCCGGACACAAAAATGTATATATTGTCATTAACACCACCAGTTGTTAATTATATGTAATTAAAATTATAAGTGATATACGAAAGATTAATAAGTATGACAATTTTTCAATGTTGCAATATAGCAATAATTAGGATTTTGCGATTATTTTATTTATGTACAATTATTACATTACTATTCTCTTTAGTACACATTAAAAAATTTATATTATGCGCATCACATTCTCAAATGTTTATTAAAAGAAATAAAACTTAGGAAGGCATTATAATCTTTCTTTGGTGAACATAATGGTTTATATACATGTATATATGCATTCAGATATATTTGTATATATGCACACATATAAATAAAAAAAATTTTCACCAAGAAACAATTATGAATACCATCCTTAGTCTTACTGGCTCGCTTTCTCCGTTCCGACAGCTTAGAACGGAACAGAAAATTCGATTTTTAATTTAACCGGCACACTTAAAAGTATACTTTATTAAAGTGAAAATTATATCTTCTCCATTTATTTAATTCTTAAGAACCTGTGTTTCTTACTGCGTGGACGTCATCGTTGGAGCGACGGTAGTGTTGATACCGGGTGGTAATGGATTCTGCTGTTGGAGAACAGATGGATAGAAGGAAGTATCTTGCGGGAGAGAAGCGGTTACTGTGATAGGTGGCATTCCTGGCAGTGAGATGGGTGTCGTTACAATGTGAGACTGAGACACATTGAAGCCAGCAGTCGTGTTTGCGCTAGGAATAGGATTCTGCTCTCTCGGCAATACTGGGACATTGATTGTGGTCATACCATGGACAGGGTTTTGCTCTCTCTGTTGTCCTGGAACATTAATCGATCCGGGCAATGCAATTGGAAATTCGTAAGAGCTGGTAACGTTTGGTGGTAGCGCCGTCATCGTTGGCATACCAGGAATGTTCGGAGTTACTGGATAACTGCCTAAACACAATAAAGTAAATAACTCAGCAACGGTCTAAATAATAAAATGTTAAGAGGCTATGAAATCCATATTTTATAAGCTATAAAATCTATCTTTTTTTTCTGCTGAAAATCCCATAAAGATAGAAACTTTTGAATAACTTAATAAAATTGTCAGTAGAAGCATAAAAAATATTCAACAGTTTGTTGCAAATATTTTGACTTTTTTAAAAAAGATTGTCTCTAAATGACCATTCTTAATTTAAAAAAATTGTTTAAATTCATAATGAGCAATATGAATAACTTTTACATATTAAGAAATTATACAAAATCTGGTTATACTTACTGGGTGTAAAACTGGGAGAGGGCTGATTCGGAAACATATGAGGGACCGAACTGACTGGTGTATAGCCACCAACAGCACCAGTGAAATTTACTTGATTTACTGGCTGCGTTTGCGTGCTCGGGCTAGGTATACTTTGAGCAGATATAGCTTCCTGTTCGGCTTTCACATTTTTCGAGCTATCCATCGGAGCGGTATAATTCGGTGGAACCAGTCCGGATGGTATACTGGCAATCGGGTTGATTTCCGCCACAGTAACAGTAGCAGTCGTTGCTACTGGCGGTTGTTGAGTTTGTATTACAGTCTTGGGAGTATTCTGAAATGGAAAGATTCATCGTAAAATAATAATGCAGTATAGCAAAGTCTTCAAGGAATTTGCAAAGCCATTATCTGTTATAATGTTATTTTAATTATGCACATACTTTTCTTTCGAATTATTCAAATATTGGCACTACAATATTGTATAATGCAACTTTTTACCATGTATGAATTAGTAGGTTTCTGCTCCAGTACGCTTCTGACAGGTATTCTATGCAAGTATCCATATCCGATTCCACACCCTAAGCTATTAAGTAAATACAGAAGAGATTAACATCTATGTGCTTTATCTAAAATGATATTTAAGCAATTATAAGATTTGCTGTACGAAAAACTACGTGCCTTCCTTCTCCACCCCAAGTGTTATTAGGTGTGATAGTGACTTCTCTGCATGAATCATCCTGAGTATTATATACATACAATTTGAGAGGTCGCGATTCGTGCGCCTCTATTAAGGTAAATAAATCCTCGCTTTCATGGAGAATGGAGTCTGCTCCGATGATGTAATCAGTGAACGGCCGTAAACCGGCCAATTCAGCAGGGGATGATGGATGTACTTCCTGTGAATATCAGCATGTTTGTTACAACGGTATATAAAATTAACAAGATTTATGTATAAAATTTCACACTCACAAGTACATGCCAAACATTTTCGTTAGCGCCTTCAAATGAACAGAAACGTATACTGACACCCAATAAACCCTGTCCACCCCATGTCATACTCGGGACAATTTTTGTCCGCCTTACAGACTGTGTTTTACTACTGTACACTGTGATTGTTAGTTCCTTATTTACACCGACCTTTAGAAGTTCCTTCAAAGTATCGTTGTCTTGGTCCTAAAGAGAAGCATATATGTACGGACCATTTTACAGATGCAACGCGATAATTATTGTAATTGTATAAAATGTGTATCTTTATCAGAGCGGAAACTACAAGTAAATCATACCAGACGAGTATTTCCAATTGCAACTATAAAATCGAAGAATGCTTCAAGTCCTGCTTGCTGTCCAGGAGAACCATCCTGAACCTGTCGGAAAAGACATAGAACATCTGTTGGTATTACATTTGTATATTAAAGTAAATATTTTTTTTTAATTATGTAGCACAGAGGTTTGTTGTTTTAACTTCTAGTATAAGTTCTTTGCATTAGCAATTAGCAAATTATACCAAATATATTAATATCTGTAACTAAAATATAATGTAAGATATGAGTTGTATTTACATTCTTTATTCTTAAATTTCTTAATTTTTTCACGACAAAGGCACCACTGAAATACAAATAATATTACATTATATAATTCTGAAAAAAAATGAGCTTCACTCTGATAAGTTTAGGTTTTCAGATTTGAATGGAGAAAATAAATGTAAGAAAACTATCACTCTAATGACAAATGTTACATTTCATATTTTCACTGTTTTGAATATTGCTCATCGGAGAGTCATTGAGTGATGACTTGAATAAATCAGGGTATCAATCGTATAACCTTTTTCTTAGGGCGAAATCATGAAAAGTAAAAAATTACTCCGTTAACTTAAAAAATCTTCACTTTTCACATTTCCTAGGGAAAAAAGTTACATGATCGATACCCTGGAATATCTTCTGCAGTGTAAAATAACGTCAAAGACGACAAGACACGGATGACATCTCCGATAGTCAATATGTTAAATTTACGAACAAATTAGGTCATGCGGATCAACCTGAATTTTCACGAATATGCAAGCGCCGCTCGGGTATGTTTTTGCCGTAGATTTCATTATTGTTCACCTCGACATTCGTGCGCGAGCGATTTTCCAAAAGCGAACGATATTCAGGGTGGTTACCTCTCTTGACAGGTCATCTTACCCTCAGTACGTGATAACCTTCTGTACCGCCTCCCGGTATTTCCACGCTGTGCGACGACCCCATGTCTGCCGAGAGCTTCTTAGGTCGCTCGAGACGACGAAGTAAAAAACATTAAATCAATTGTCGATCACGCGGCTTCGCGGAGCACTCAAACTGCAAAAATACGTGGCACAGCTATTGTAACGCAAACTCAGTGACGTCACGACAGCCGTGCACAGCCTGTTGTGTCGTTCGAATGGTCCTAGCGAGAAATCTAGGGTTTCGTGTAACGACACGCGATTTGCCCTCTCTTAGGGGAAAATTGCACGATCGATAACATAAAGCCGCGAAAGCGCTAGGATTCGAATTCATTCCATTGATGGACGCAAAACATTCTACACTGAAAACCTTCTACTTCGCTTGCACCAATTCTTCGAATATATATCTGTTTCATTTTAGCAAAGAGTGTATATACACTACGAGAACTAACAGATTGTTGAGTGCGCACCTTCCAATTGTATATAATAAAGTTTAGTGGGGGATTCAAAATAATCAAAATTTCAGAATGTTGTAAAGCGAGACCATCAGCGAGACCATCACGTCGACGAGCGTGATATTCCGGGGAGCGGAGAGAATTTCGCGGTTTTTCAGGATAACGTAAGAAATTATTTTCACATTAATTTTTTGAAAATATTCAGAATTTTATTGAGACTACAGGCAATTTCTCTTTAAAAATAATAAAAGCCGAAGCAGGAACAAAAAATTATAAAAATAAATATTTCTTAATAAAACTTTTTCAATTTATTTTTTGTGTCAGATATATGTATAAAGTTTACATCAATTTTTGGGAATGCTTTATACTTAGGTATAAATAGGCTATTTTTTCAATTGTCATCAATAAGAAATATACGTACATTATATGTTTTTGATCTCAGGAGTGTATGACAATTATATAATTGCTAATGTGAGTTACATTGATAATTTTCTATAATTACATTACGTAATTATTAAATTATGTTTTAAACAAATATATTTTTTATAATTGTAAACTATATTATGTGATATATTTAGGGGTTTGAATTACGGAAAGCTTATTGGAGAGAAGAGTAATTACAAGTAGACATTAAAAAAAGAGAGGAAGAACTATACGCTTTTATCAAAAGTTATCAAGAGTGATAATAATATTCTAGTATATGAATCACATTGATAATTTTCTATAATTATGCACATAATTAAATTAAACAATTATTAAGTTATAATGTTTTAAAGAAATATATTTTTTATAAAATAGAATGATCTAAAAATCTCGTTCTATGTTCGCTCTTACTTTCTATTAATTGATACTATTAATAAAACTTACAATCAGAATAAATAACTCATATATTAGTTTGATCTCGAAGATTCTGTACACAATATACATAAATATATACACATATTTTGTCGAAAATTTGTAATTTATTATTTAAATATAGTTGCACCTTGAAGATTTAGTTTATCAAATATTATTTATTAAGATAAATAAACTTCTAAACTTTTATAAACTTTTTAGTGATTTATGTTTAAGATAAATAAACTTTTTTTTTAATGACTATATAAGCTAACGAGATAACGTTGAGAAAAGTAATAAGAATGATATGGACTACGTAATCGAAGCGGGGAAGCGGGAAGGGGTCACAAAAGTGTCACGAGATTCTCTCATTTTGTCTCGCTAATAAGGCATTGAATGCAGCAGTTAATTATTTCTACGACACAAAAAAATGCACTTGTGAAAATAAAGAGATGGTAATGTCCCGCGGGAAATGACGTAAACTTAAGGATCTGAAACTATATTTAAGCACTCAGCATTTTTGTGATTTGACATAGTCATGTTTGCGCTTAGTGCGAATTATCGTTATCACTATACGTACTCTTATAATTTCTTCTCTATCTTCTATTAATAGTCAAGATAAAGTTACTCGCTCTCGTTTTAGCCTTATCTTGCATCGTTGCATACATCCGAAATATCTGTAAATAGTTTTTTTAAATTAAATACTTTAATTAATAATTTCCTCTCCTCTTGTTTCTCGTTTGTAAGTTGCTAAATGATTGTATTATTAGTGTTTCACGATATTCATAATTATAACATGCATTCTCCCTGGATATTATACGCATTCAATAGTCCTAGATAAAATTCTATTATTGTTTAAAATTTATAAAAGATAATTATTTAATAACATTATTAAAAATATTTGATGTCGAATTTATAGAAGTATTCAAAACATATGATCAATTTTGTATTAACATAGTTTTATAAATGCATATAATTTTATAAAAGGTTGATTCTCAAGGTTCGATCGTTGCAAATTTAAAGGATACTACGCAATCGCCATTGTTTCCATGGTCTTGGACCCCGTTATTCTTGTTACCCGCACGGGATGGTGAATCCGCGGCTTCTTCGTGGATCCACGTTTCCGTAGTTCATCCACGAAAATGATCGTCTCCAATCATAGCAAACATAATCATGTAAGTTGCTAAATGATTGTCCTGTGCGCGTTTCACGATTCATAATTATAATACGCATTCCTCCTGATAATACACGCATTAAATAATTCTAGATAAAATTCTATTATTGTTTAAAATTTATAAAAGATAATTATATGATAACATTTTTGAAAATACTTGATGTCGAATTTATAAGTATTTGAAACATGATAGTCAGTTTTATATTTAAATATTTAATAAATATATTTAATAAATACATATATAGTTTTATAAAATGCTGATCCTCAAGATTCAATTAATCGTTGCAAATTTTAATGGTACTACGCAATTGCCATCACTGACGACAAAAAACGTTGAGAAGGCCTTTAATTTGGGGCCCTTCCACAAAAGTGAGCGCAAATAATAATGAAAATAACGTAAGTTTCTAAACGGATTGCATTATGCGCGTTTTACGCTATTCATAATATTCAGCATTCTCCCTAATATTACACGCATTGAATAGTTTTAGATAAAATTTTATTATTATTTAAAATTTATAAAAGATAATTATTTAATAACAGTTTTGAAAATATTTGGTGTAGTTTTATAAAAGGCTGATTCTCAAGGTTCGATCGTTACAAATTTAAAGGATACTCCGCCATCCTCTGACAGCTATGGCTTTTTCCAAGATTTTTGGAACAAGCTCAAGGAATTCCGGAAAGGAATCGTCATCAATCAGGGCAAAAATAATAACAATCCCGGATGTGATTGTGAGTCGCAATCTAATGTCGACAATGGGATGAATGACGATACTCGCCGCTAAGCAACTATCGCTGGAAAAGGGAAGCGGATAATAATAACGATCCCGGATCTGAGTCAACCTAATTATATCTTGTTATCTATCAAAATGGCCTTCCAGTTTATTTGTCCAATAAATGGTCGCTTTTCTGTTTTTTTTATTCTTTAAAAACGCAAAAAAACGTCAATTTACTTAAATATACCAATATACTATTTAAATAATTATATTATCAGAGCTTTGAAAAAAAGATTAAAACTTTTGCATACACCTCATTAAGAGATAAAGAATTTAATTATTCTTGTAACATTTGATTTGATTTTACTAAATTAAATTAAAAATATTTTCAAAAACTTTAAATTTCCTTGGAAATTTATACATATAAATTGAAAATACGCACGTGCGCACATACACACACACAGGTATATACGTGCACGTATAAAATATACGTCTACAAAATTTGATTTGCAATCATATTTTGTAAACGTATATTGTATATTCACTAGCATTACGCTTCGTGTGCGCTATTTCATATTTTTTACTTTTTACTATTTACTATCAATCTCTATGCGTAACAACTGTAAAAATATGCAATGACAGTCGCTCACGAAGTAAGCGCAACAAGAGGACCAATCAACATCGCGGAAAAGCAACAGCAATAAATTTAATTCGATAGATTCGAGTATCGACTTAACACACCTTTTTTAGAAATGGAAATGGAAATGGATTTGTCTCTTGTCTGATTTTTTTTGAGAATGCAATGTGAAGTTGAGCAATCTTAGTGGAACTAATATAAATTAGTATTACTTTTGTGTCATGTCGAATTGTAAAAGTTTCTCAAAAAATTTTGAGCTTACTCGCCGATTAAAGTCAAGATAAAAAATACGGAATGTAGTTCGTTAAATGCAATACATTAAATATCTTGATCGATTGGATTGCAAAACAATCTGTGATTGACAAGACTGCGAATGTGAATAGTTTGTGAAACGAAGAGACACCGGCAATGTGGATCCTCTGTGTAAGAATTATTTTCAGTAATTAATAATTAATATTTAAAAATTTCATATGCCTATAATTTTAAGATTTTAGTATTTACAAACAAAAATTTATAAATTTTATGTATATATATTTCGAAAATTCGTAGAATTTAAACAGTTAATCTTATTTTAAATCTGATGATCTATAGGAGATATTTTTATCATATAGATACTGATTGGACTTTTCCAACTTGTAATTCTATTAATGTTGTCTGGTATCCTGTTTTCCGTTGCTGCCGTTTCGCGTTTGATGGAAATAACAATTATCCTAATATATCCCACAGCCGTATTTTTATTACGGCAAGCCGCAAATTTAATCATCGTGAGTATATAGTTAGAATTTCATTAAACTTTTCTTTTTTCGAAGTCTTTCTTTGTATCTTTCGCGTCTCTACTTCAAAAGGCTCTAAAAGAATTGAAATGCTTTATTATGAGAGAATCAATAAATATTTTATTAAGTAATGTATAACCAAGACCAGGGCTAAGTAGCCCCATGGTCAGTTAATTTTGAACACCTGGTCTTGTACAGCTTCTCACAATCCTGACGGCAAGAATGACATCCTCGGCGTTTCACAAACTATGCACTCTTGTTAACTGCAATCAGCAGCAAGAAACGATTTCTCAACAAGAATCATTGGGAGCTGCTCAGCTGCAGCTCGACATGCAAACTCCTTTCGTACCGTATAAAAGTAGCGTCCTTGAAGAAATACCACAAGATATTTTGCCTTTAAAAGACGAATTTTCTGCTGTTTCATCAGCAAACAACGGTATTATCGAACCTACGCAAGATCAATCACAGGATAATAGCTTAATCGAAGAATCAACTGCACGCAAAGATACCACTGATTCCGCTACCTACTAATGAAAAAAAGGATGATCAGGGGAAGAGAATTATTTGAGAATTATTTGAGAATTATTCGTACGAAATAATTAATTTTATTTATACAAACAATTTATATAAACATGAAATATATTTTATTGAGAAATATTTTGTATGACAATCTATAAAAATTAAATGTTTCTATTTATGAGAAAAACATAAAAGATTCTATTTTAATAAAATATTTTAATAAACTCACTATATATACAAATTCTAGTAAACGCGAAGTAGTCAGTTTATTGCTACGTTATTTCAATCAATTGAAATTGCATCATATTATATGACAAATTTATTATTTTATATCAATATGTAGAATTTTATATGTTACATATAACATTTTTTTATTTAAATTAAATTAAAATTAGTGTATTTCTACAGAAATCGAGGACGAAATGAATGTAAGTTTTTCAATATTTTCAGCTAAATTTTTTTTCAATAATTGTACTATTAAACATTTTTAACATCATAGTTGGAGACTACACTGATCGATTTGAGCGATAAAATTCCTTACCTGCGAAACATTCTTCATCCAGAATATGTTCCGTATTTAACCACAGCTGCAACAGTATTAATAGGATGGCTGCTTGTGTCTTGGATATTTCATGCATGTATCTAAAATTTATTCGACTTATCTATAATGACTATAATTAATTATAACTGATTTTTTACAGTTATTTTGGATGTTATTTGCTCCTATAACAATAAGCGCCATCGCCATAGCGTTAATATGTCCAGTAACAAGTAAATGGTGTTTCCAGCAATTAGGAATGAATTTAGAAGAGATATTGAATAAAGTTATTCATAAACTTCAAGCATTTCGATAATAATGTCAATAAAAAAAATGTAATAAATTTGATTTAATTGTAAAAATATTAATGTGATATATTTATATCTGCCTTTATATTATATATTAACATTATATACTGCAATTCAGATTATATAATAAATCAATAAAAATTTTTTTTTTAAAACATATACAATGCAGTATATACTACATACAATATATGTATAGTATATATACAGAATATATTATATATTGCTTATAATTATTTAATAATCTACAATGAAAACAGCGTCAATTTTAATAAATATAATAATGTATTTTTCTAATAAGCTGTTATAGCAACAGTATGAAACACTTACAATTACAATACTTTTAGCTTTTAAAATCAGAGTAAAGTATAAAAATCTATCGTTTAAATAATTATGAGAGATGTCATATATATGTATATATGTACATATACATTTATAAAAGATAAATATATAATTTTAAAATTGATCACATTTTTAATATATATAATATTCTAGTTTAATTATGTAACGTTTTGTAGAAAACAATGCTTTAAATAACAATGTGAATTTGTCCGTAAATATTAAATGAAACGTTTCGAAAAATTATGTTCAACACACATATCTATATATATCTATATAAGTCTGTGTCCCAACCTCCATCTCGATAATTCTAAAATTTCGAAGCATACGATCAAGAAATAAATCGCGTGTGTAAATATGTCTCATGGTGAAAGAAAGTTGTACAGAAAGGCAAATATATAATACAAGGAAATCATAAAAATGGGAGTGCAGAATTCAAAACGGTAAGTGCTCAAAACTATATACATAAATTAAAAAATATGTACTTTATTGCTAAAAGAAATAACATGTTCGTTTAAGTTAACAAAATATGTTTCTAATATATCATAGAAAAAAGTAAGAAATTGTGAAAAAAATAAAAAATAAATTATTAGTTAAATAAAATATTTTATTGGAGGGTGATATCGTTAAGTTAAATAAATAAAAACCATCTTGCGATTATTAAATCTGCTAAATCAACTATCAAGTTATTTAGCTATTTGCAACTTTGAAAATTCGATAACTTCTTCTGCTTCTGTTTTTACTTTATCTTTTTAATTATGTTGATTTACGGAATTGCCTTCTTGATAATCGATGTCTTTCCTCTCAGCATGCTAAATTTCTGCTCGTTCTTCTACTGATTGATGTCAGTTTCTCGCTTTGAGTTGTTGAAGGCATTAATCATTTCGGTAGCAGTCGAAAGTGCTTCTTCTGGTAGCATCTCTTTATTTGATTGAGTCGATAAATCATCTGTATGATGAGATTCACGACCATAAAACGGTCCTCCCGCATTTACAGTGACTGTCGGTACGTTATTTGCTGAAGCTTGAAAGTCATAGTTAATCGGATAAGAGGTTCCGGCATAGTTTCCGTAAGCTCCGTAAGTGTTAGAACTTGGATTGGTGTAGGATATTGGATTAGTATAGTATTGAGACTGATAATATTTACGGACATTGTCGGATGCGTACGCAGGGAATTGCATATTAACGTTTATAGGAGCATAGTTATGTTTCTTATGATGTCTTCCTTCCTGTAAAAAAATAATTCAGAATTCATTATTTATGTAAAAACCATATATTTTATTTTATCTTACCATTTAAAAGTATCTTTCTACATATTAATTCTTTTTAAGATTAGGACTTGTATTATTATGCGATAATTTTCAGCATTGTATTTTCAGCAGTTAAGCGCACGACTAATATTTCGAATATACGCATCAAAAGATTCCAAACGCAGCGCAATGTTTTAGAGATATTACACTACAGGTTAATAAAACTGGATGTTAATCGGAGAATCGAAAGAAGGAGAACAATGAGAAGGTTTTTGTGAACAATTTTTATTTTTTAAACAATACATAAGAACGTTTAAGTTGAACACATATGCTTCAGAAGACAAATGCTTGTACAGAGACGTATGCTTTGTATAAAGTATTAAATATTTTAAACTTTCGATTTTTAATCTTGTTTAATTGGTCCAATTCCCTTAACGAAGTCGTCCAGGATATAAAGAATTAAACCTGTTTGTGAAATAAAATATTATAGCTCTTTCTCCGAACGAATTGGCGATCTTTCTACAGAGAAGATCTTACTCTACAAAATTTTATCATAGAAATTTATTAGAGTAACAATAAACTTGCGCACACATAGGAATCTTTTGTTGTCGCATTAGATTTTTATCATTTTTAAAGAATCGTACTATTGGATATCACGCAATATCTCACCCGTGTTTTATTATCTCAAGTTCAATGTGGAATCATGTAGCATTACTATTCAATTCATATCAAATTTAGTACTCACCGCTTCTCTAGCTTCTTCTGAATCTAAGAACATGAGTTGATTCGACATGGCGCTAGGATTGTTTCCTCTGGTCATCATTACGGTCTTATAAGGTCCTACAGTATCGATTTCACTGTTGGGATATATCATGTTAGGATCCTGAATATTGAATTGGGAACTAATATGGGATGAACGAGCGTTATTCCTTGATTGGCAATTGCATTCATATGCTTCTTTCTCAGTTTTGCAGCCATACTGTGATGACACCTAGATCAGCGAGAAATAACATATTTTACTCATTATAGACGTACTTTATGTAGTATGTAATGCATCAATTAAGAGAAGAGTTTACAGATTCAGAAAAACTAAAGATTATACTATAAAACTTAGCACAGATTTAAGGATCCATCTCACAGCTTTAAAAAAAATCAAACGGTATCTTTAGAATTAATAATGCTTGTCACTTACATCGACAAAGGATTGAGGTCGAACAATGAATTCTAAATGGGATGGTACAGGAACCGGTGCTTTGCATACTCTGCATTCAGGCCTTTGCATGAGAACGAGCTTCTGTGGCGGCCTTTGCAGAACGAAAGCGGGGCGCTAAATTATGAAGAAGGAATAAACCAAAACATTAATATATGTTAGTTCTTATTTTGTTCTTTCTTAAATACATTTTTTGTATAATGTTGTAATTATTTTAATTTACTTGAATTTAATTAATCAATCAATCGGTTACTTTTACAGATTTTACTTACAATTAAAACTCTTAATTTTTAATTTATTTTATTTATCTAAATTAATTGTCTTTTTACCTGTGGTCTGGGAAGTGGTACTTTTGGCAATTTCGTTTCTTCCTTGTGCGGTTTAGCCTCCTGGTTGATCACAGGCGGTGTTGGTTGAGATGGCGGATGGATGAGTACCGTGTGAAGTTGCGGTGATGTGTGCACAATAGTTGGTTTATCGCAAGGTTCGGGCACAGGACCTGGAGATACGATATTAATGATCGGAGCTGCAGGTGCAGGCGCTTGTACTGGAGCAGGAGCTGGCGCTGGCACTGGTGCTGGTACTGGTACGGGTTGCACGAAAAATACTGGTTTGGATACTTCTGGTTGAACAATTTCTTGTGGCTCT